AATAATCACGTGTGAGTGACTCCTTTAACTCAGGTAAGTAAGAGAATATAAATGTAGCGGGCAGTTTAAAGAAGTTAAAAAATATAAATTTTATGGAGGAATATATAGGAATGGTGACAGGAATTTAAAACTGGCTCCTTCCACAAAAAGGGAGGGAAATCAATTTCCCAGCCACTAGGCCAAAGGTATTTGTAAGTTCACAAACAAGAACTCCTTGTGTGATTCCCCATGTTCTGCAAGTACATTTTTATGGCTGCAAAAGAAACACAGCCTTATAGAATCAGAAATTCCCAAAGGCTCCGGCATTCCATCAAAAACATTTAGTAACTTCTTTTGCTGACTCCGAGTCTCAAATCTTTTCTTAAATCAGGTAATTTATTAGACGTCATATAAATGCAGGGCTAATCTGGTATTTACATTCCTGCCTAATGACCTATGCTATCACCTCTCTGTTTATTTTTTGTACTCTTCTTCAAATGTCTTAAACGAAACTCCCTGCACAAATTCATCTCTCAAATAGAAACCCAACCTAATGAAAGGCTTCCCCCCCACCATCTCCTTGAAAATGCTCTCATTTAGGGCAGCAATAAAGTCTGTACCTCAGAGCCAGTAAGAACTCACTCTGTCCCTATTTAACGTCAAAAGCTTAGACAATACTTTTCATGGTAATATCCTCGCCTACTTTTCCACTGCTTTAAGCCACTCCTTTTCAGAGCTCGTTGCCTGTTTTCCACTTCTACTCACTGATTACACAGATGGCCATGTTCAAGCAGCTGCCCTACTTCTTCCTCTAGATGCCACACCTCCTGTCAGCTATCACTTCCCCAAAACCATTTTCCACGACACCCAGACCCACCATTCCATGTTCATCACGTCTGATTGTTAAACTGGTATATCTGTTAGACAGATATTCATTCAACAAATATCCTTTGAATATTTGCTTTATGTCCTTTCCTTTGATACCTGCTAGGCACCACCTGGCTATAGAACTTCTCACAGTTCTCACTTGTAACTGAAGTTGTCTCAAGTCTGTGTTTCTCCCAGTTTCCTGTCTCTACCACCAAGTTTCTCAAGGCAGAAAACTGGAAGTCTCTTTTGACCCGTCCCTCTCCTGATGCATCTATATCATATCATACATCATCAGGTCCTGTTACCTCTGCTGCATAATTATGTCCCAAATCAACACATTTGCACTTCATTTTTACTCCCCTTTTAAGTGATGTAAAACCTGTTCATGCCGTGCAGTGATCTCAAGCACTTTCATAAACCCTCACTGCTCTTACAGACAAGCCCGATGTTTATACATAAAAACCCTATAGCACACACCTCAGAGCTGGAGGAATGAACCTTCTGACTGAGTGGTTAAACACTTCATGGACTCTGGGAAACGGTCCTACTTCATTCTTAACACTTCCCTACCTTTTACAATTGGTGACCTGGTGATCTGACTGTCTTTTGCACACACACTCACACCCCAAAATAAGATGTCACTTTCATGGACTGGACATGTTGAACAAGAAGCTTAAATATTAAATAATTACAGTACCCAATACCTGCCCAAAGAACAAGTAACAGTTTAAAAACTGAAGTGATTATCTTTGGTGAATACACGCCAATTTCAAATGATTTGAAAATAACTGCCACACAAGTCTCCTTGGAGAACATCTAGAAAATACCTTTATGTGCACAGTTAAAAGCAGCAGTGCCTGCTCTAAGAGTACACGGGGTACTTTCTGTGGGTGCCTGGTTATTATCGTCTTAAACTCTTCCAGGCTCAAAGCTGAAGGTATATCACCCATAATTCTAGGCAGTACAACTTTGAGTCATTAGCATCGGCCCATTTGCTGGAGACCTACCAACTTCTGGCAGAGTATACTGATTATCCTCTGAGCTAAACTCCCAGCCAGTATTATGTACTTTTAATTTTATTAACCCTTCCAGGCAAAAGTGTCTCCTTACCCATGGTTGGATTTTCAGCTAAGCCAACAAATAAAGTTAGAGTCTAGGATCTGGTGGTAATTCTGATACACACTACACTGAATAGCCTTGAAAACATCCATGCGAAGTGAAACCAGACACAAAAGAACAAATATTACATAATTCCACTTATATGAGGTACCCAAAATAGTCAAATTCAGAGTATAGTAAACATTCAAAGTATAGTAAACATATCAGGAGCCAAGAGGAGAAAACAGTAGATGGCTATCATTTCATGGATACAAAATTTCAATGTGAAATGAGGAAAACTTTCTGGAGACACATGATGGTGGTGGTTACCCAACCACGTGAATATGCTTAATACCACAGAGCTGAACACTTAAAAGAGTTAAACTAGTAAATGTTATGTTGTGTGTGTTGCAGCACAATGAAGATAAACACTAAATCTTTAAAAGGTTACAATATACTGAGAAATGCAAACTACTCATTTTTCAATTAGCCTGTTCATAGCCAATATCAACCCCAGAAGTTTCAGTTGAGTTGATTAGGATGGGTAAATGGTATCAAAAGGAGTGGTAAAATTATTCTAGCTTATTAATGGAATTCACTGATCAACAATTTATTGGTAAGTTATTTGGTCAATTGGTTTTTTGAACATTTGAACCATTTGCCAGGTCTCCCTTTTTTAATGACCCATACAGTCTTTCTGTTGGTGAATTCACTAGAACACCTGAGGGCAGCTGCTAGAAAGAATTAAAATGGCTGAAGCATTCAAGGAAAGACCAACTAATAAGCCAACAAATCACAGAAAGACCATGGTCAGTTTCTTAGTTACCTGAGTCACTGCTGGGACAAAGTACCCAATACTCACAACTTAAGGAAGGAGAGGTTTATTTTGGCTCACACTCTGTAAAGGTTTTAGTCCACATTTCTCTGGCTCCAAGGCGGGGCAGTTTGGCAGTTGGGCATGGCAGAGGAGCATTAGCTCAAGGCATGGCAGTCAGAAAGCAGAAAGCAATCAAGAAAGGAGGGAGGAACACAAAGATTCCAGGAAACACCCCAGTGACCCACCTCCTCCAACCGGCCTTCACTTCTCTTCACTTCACCTCTAGCTATAAAGATATCAGTAAACTAATCCACTAGTGAGTATCACACACATACATGATCCAGTTACCTCCTCAAATCCCACTCTGAGTGCATGAGGCTTTGGAGGTGGTGGTGTGGTAGTCTGGCTTTTGGCAAGAGAATATGTTTACTACAGGATACATAGTTTATAGGATTATTTTATGATAATTACCAAAAAAGTCAAATGCAAAGGAGTGCAAAAGATTAACTGCGCACTAGGGGCCCAAAGAATCCAGCTGAGGGCCTGGATCCTAGAAATGTCCCACCTAAGTGCAGCTAAAGGCTTAGCATCAAGGCAAAGTCCTCCATTATTCCAACCAGTGTCCTAGAGCCCATGGCAATGTCTCATGCTTGTCCGTATTGAAGATCTTCACCTGGAAAGCCCAAAGGCCAGCGATAGAAGCCAGAAAACCTATGCCAACAAACATTACAGCCAGGAAGCGATGCTCACAGTGAAGATCAGAGCTACCCGGATGAAACGAGCAGCCATCCCAGCAACAGCAAGGCCCCAAGCTCCTCCTCCAATGGGAACAGCCTAGTTGGCATCAGGAAAACCAACAGCAGCAAGCTTCTCCTAGAAAATCAACAAGCCAAGATCATCCCCTCCAGTTCTCTTTTTATGGCTATTGGTTAACAATCCTCAGGTGGATCCTCCATGCCCAGACCACACTGATTCAGTTCAACTGGGCGTTACAAATCCACCATTAGTCAATCCACTACAGGGGGCATCTAGATATAAACCATAACAATACAATCCAAGGTGTGTGGTATCCAACTACACAGATCATGAACAGAGGACAACAAGTTTCTGAGCTGGTCAGACTGGAGCTGACAAGATTCACAGTAGAACAAGCATGATCATTAACTTTCAACTCACTAAGTACAAAATATACATCCAGTAATGCAGGGATGGTGTAAACCCTTGTTTGGCTTGCTCTCTGAGTGGTTTTCTCTTTGCATGTCTGTGTTCTCATTCAGTCGGTCTTCAAGCCTACACTCAGTGGGGTCCAGGATCCGCTCGCACTCTGAAGAGATTGATTCTCCCCCTGCTCGCCCATCTCCCACTTTGCTTGAGTCGGACCCCTATCTTGAGAACATTTTCTTAAATCCTGAGAGTCGACTATATAGCTGCTATGTAGCTGAGCCACTGCTGCCATTTCTAAAATAGATCAAAAGACAGTAGTTTTAAAATGGTAAGCTTTTTACAAATATTCATTACCTGAGTGACATCTACGTTCAATTTGAAGATCCATCACTGAACAGCCACATGACTATTTAAATCTCATCTTTTTTTTTTAACAAATAAACTCCAGCACTCTTAAGCCTCGGTTTCATCTGTAAATGGTTTGTGAAAAGTAAATGAAGTTTTTCAAACAAAACATTCAGCATAGCACTGTATCCATGTGAGCACTCAATGTTAGTAGTATTAAGTGCAATTATACAGTTTGCCTTACCTTCATTATAGTATACTAACTAGATATCGTAGTCAGTGTGGTCAAACTGATATGAGCACGTTGTCAGAGTCCAAGCTTACAGGAAGGACTGGGGAGCTGAAAGACAATTGACAGGACTCTACCTTTCCTCAGAAAGACCCCAGCTTCAGCTTCCTCATGTCTAGATTGGGGAGCATCTTGTTTCTCACATTCCCCGATGCCTGTCCTCCAAGCAAAGCATACAATTGTTTTTCCTCTTTCTTCATAGAAACTGACCTCGAGTCAAGATAGATGCATTATTCAAGAAAATATTTTAAGAAGAGTGGGGAAAAAATAGCTTTAGGTTTTCTGCACTGTATTTGGTAATGTTTAGATGTGTCCTTTCAGGAAAAAAATGAAATTTCATTTTAAAAATGAGAGGTTAGCCATAGTTCTGAGTGGTACTTAATAATGATGACTATACTAAACATAAAAATGGGTTTTTGTTTATTTATAGCAAATTTTAGCTTTGCCCTGGGCCAGTATTGTAGCCAATGAGGTTTATCTGAGGTGTAATTATTGCTAACCCAAAACTTAACTGGAGCCAACTTTAATGAGAATTTAAAGATGCAATCCAAGCCCAGATTTTCATGTTTTATCAGTTTTAACAAATAGAAGGCTCTCTGTCAAGTAAATAAGAATGTATATATAAAAACACTTTTTGTTGTAGAAAATTTCAAAATATATATGAGGGCAGAAAGTATAATAATGAACAATACATTACCCATTCTGAATAACCACTAACTCAATCATGTTATAATTATACCACAAAAAATTAATAGAAATTCTTACTACTAGAAAATTCCTAAACAATGTTTATAGCTTTCTAAATGTCATACATTTACAGTTTGTTTGAAATAGGATCCTAAAGAGTTTATACATTTTAGCTATTGTATCTCCTTTTTCCGGTACCTTGGATTGAACTCAAGACCCTGCATTAACAAGGCAGGTACAGCATCACTGAGCTAAATCCTTGGCCCTATCTCATATTTTCTCACCCTCTCTCTCTCTCTATCTCCTGTACTTTCTCCTTTCTTTTATTAAAAGTTATTTATTAAATAAACTAGGTACTTCTTGAAGAATTTACCAGTTTGGATTTTGAATGTCACTTATCACCATTTTACTTTTATTTAAGACACTAGAATCACTTTCACTGCACTCTCTCCAAAAGACAATGTTAAATGGAGAAATGTTTCTAATTTCAGTCAGGTGTATGACTATGCATTCAAGTTTCTATGCATTTCTTAATGTATATATAGAATAGGCCTCCTCAAACTCACAAGCCAAAGAGCAAAACTTCTACTAATATTCAAATTACAATAATTTGGAGTCACTATAATCTAAATGCAAGAATTCACTCATCCTACAATGTCTCCCAGATGTTTCAGAGTCCTTGAAAATTCTTCCCTTGTACATAAAAAGTGGAGTCACTTGGGGTCATGTGTCCCTGCTTCTCCTGTCCCCTTTTTCCAACATCTGCAGCGCTGGTGACCTCCCTAAAAATGTTGCTGCTCCCACCATGCTGTTCTCCAAATGTTTACAAGCGTTGGCTGATGGGTACGAGTCAATTTTCTCTTCCCTGTGGCTCAGTCTCCTAAAATGCACCAGCACTTCAGAGACCAAGCACAATTCGAACAAGATCTTACTGAACATTCTATTGTGAAGGAAGCCAGAGAAACGTAAAGAAACTGAAATTGTAACCACGTGTGATTCCTCTCAGAACATTCAAACTGAATTATGTCCTTAGATTTCTTTAAAGGTATTCCCTGTTTACCTATCAGTCTACTTTTAATAGGTTTCACCCCTACCTCACACCACACACAAAAATTAATTTAACATGTCTCATACATCTAAAATTAACAGCCAAAAATAGCAAGATTTTAAAAGAAAATATGGAATATCTCTGCAAGTATGGAATAAGCAGACTTCTTAAAGAGGGCATTAAAATTTTTGAAAGAAAGCTAATTATACTTTGTTAAAGTCAAAAATTTCTACTCAATTAAAAATATCAATGAAAAAATAAAAACATCTGACACAAACTGGAATAAACATGAGCCAGGTATCTTGCAAAGAAATTCATTTAAAATACATAAGTAACTCCTAAAAGGCAACAACAGAAAGTTAACCAACTCAATTTTTAATAAGCAAAGCCTTAACACACCTTTTACAAAGAAAGATGTATGAATAACCAAAAACTATACAAAAAGCCACTTGATATATCATAAGTCACTAGAGGAGTATAAATTAAAACCACGACAAAAGTTCTCATCGTCCATAATGCCTCAAATTTGAAAGATCTAAAATACAACTCTTTATGAAGATGTACAGCAAATAACACTCAGGCTTTTCTGAGTGATACTGTAAAATTGTCAAAAACTTTGAGAAAATAGGCAACTACAATAATGTCAACTACATAACTACCCAAACTATCTAGCAATTATCTTGTAGGTTTGTATCAAATAGAAGTGAAAACATACCATTATAATAACACAAGATAATTTCATAGCAACTTTATTCAGTAGAGACTTAAACTGTACTACAGAAACATCCTAAAAGCTCATCAACAGGTAAATAAGTTTTTAGATTGTGGTACATTCATACATTGTAGTATTACTCAGCAATAAAAAAGGGACACATATTACTGATATGACAATAAGGTAGATTAACTGCAAAATCATTATGCTGAATTTAAAAAAAGAATCCCAGGAATACGCACTGTATTGTTGCTGTGAAGTGTGACGTGAATGTGATCAAGGTATCAGAAGAATGGCTGCTTGAGAGGTTAGCAGAAAACACGCTGACTGGAGACAGGAGGATATTTTCTGAGGTGATAAAATGGTCTACTTCAAACTTGATCTTTTGAAATCTGTGTATTTCATTGTTACAGAAATTGTAACTCAATAGAAAGACTCTTTTTTACAGGAAAGTACATCTCAGACAGAATGGAAGTCATTATAATGAGTAGACACTGTGTAAAATGAATGCAGTCCCTAGTTTCATTTATGAAGCTCAAGTCTACTTAGATGTAGCATAAATATGTCTATAACACAAGTACCGGTCATCGTGGCTTAACCGCTAGAGGGAAAAACGATGCTGTCATCTAAATGCTCCCTGTTCATTCTTTATATTCACAATTCAAAGTACGCGGCTCGGCGGGATGTGTAACAGCGGTAAATTTTCCCAGGAGGGCTGTGCCTTTTCACTCGATGGGAAATTTACACGTGAACATAATGATCCACCTGGACAGAATGGATAACGTGGTTTTAAATAATACTGTGAGTAAGAGCATCAGTAGTGCTACACACCATGAGCATTGCCAAGTTCAGCCCAAGTCTGTTTCTACACACTCTTGGCATTCTGACCTTCCCTGAGAGTTCCGTCTCATTTCCTATTTACTTGTGAGCCACAGTTTGCCTTAGTAAACAAAGTATTTCAAGTGAAAAGAGCACATTCAATTCTGGACATACTTAGAAATGCAGTGTTTTATTAAGATACGCAGTCAGCCTGAAGTGTATCATCTGAGTCCACACTTAAGGAATTACCCCAGTACAAACATTTCCCCTGGTCCTAGAACACGAACAGAGACCACAAGGCTCTAAATGATCCTTCTAACGTATTAGAACCACTGGGAAAGAGTGTGACAGATAGTCTCAGCTGTGCATGGAGGGACAGCTTGCAACCAGCTGTCCTGAGAATTTCCATAGTCTCTGCTTTTCTGTTGTTGATTTCATAACCTAATTTCCATTTGTCTCAATGTGCTGGCCACCAGAGTGACTATCCATCTTCAATAGATTAACCACAAGATGGCTTTAACAGTACAATGCAAATGCTTTGTCTAAGCAGTTAATGTAAGCAGATTAGTGAGACAGGAAACTTGTTTTCTCATATTACATAATAATTGTTTCATCAAAGCTCTGTAAAGAACCTCAGTTGTTCTAAAATCAATTCTAACATATTCTTCAAATCGAACAAAAATAACTGCATCTCTACACACAGAAGAAAGCCATGTAAAGCAAAGAAATATTTTCCCAAAGCAACAAGTTGAAAGACATGGGTGACACTGACTAAAATATTTGGTCAACAATTTACAGTATGTTATCATCAGAACTCTTAACTTTTTAGGCTAAAATACCTATGTCTTTGAATAATTTCAAGCTTTTCCTGCAAATTGTGTATACTTCCTATATATTCATTTCATGATAAGGATTTTGGATCCAGAAATAAACTTCGCCTGGAAAGGAAATTCAAGTTTTCATGTCTTCCTTTGCTGTGTCTTAAAAAAAAAAAATGCTTTTGGTTTGTTTATCTTTTTCATTTGTTTTTGGTTTTGTTTATTTTTGTTTTTGTTTGGTTTGTTTTATTCTTTTAACTTCACCTCATCAGTGTTTGGCAGGAAGAAAAATAGGAAAAATTGATACCATATTTTTTGTTAGTATACCCAGTTTCTGAAAAATAAATTTTCTTCTGAAGAACACTTGGTTCTCTGTTGAGGAGTTTTCTATTTAGCAGAAAACGTCACTTTTTGTTCGAACATCAAAACTTTACATCAGCTGACAAAACACAGAGAGAAAAGGAAAGAAATCTCTGTTGTGCTTGTTCTGGCTGTTTTACCTTTTTCAACAAGTGGTGACTTCCGGTATATCAGGAGGATAAGGAGCACACTTTTCTCATTTTGAACACTGCCTCTGGAAGACAGTGTGGTTTACTGGAAAGAACAGGGCTTTGAAATTAAGAGGGAAATTCTGTTTCTCCCGATTCAACTACGTGCTTTGAGCAGAGTGTAGGACGCCCCCAGACTGTGGGCCTCATGTGTGAGTCATCACCACACTTTTCAGGCTGCTCCAGTAAGGAAACTCCAACGAATAATAATTCTATGCAGTAGCTGCTTCTGACAATTATATTTGTATTTGTGGTCTTCCAATGATTTTGTTTTTTAACTATAAATTTTCAGAATTTTTTAAGCCTTCACTTCAAACAATTGCAAATTGTTACTGAAACAATCAGTATTTTTGTCATCATATTTGGGATTCTTCCGCCTTGCTTGGATGGATATCTGGCTAAAACAGAATCGATCATCCTAACTCTGAATCAAAAAACATTTGTATTTAAAATTTCAAGTACCATGGAATAGAAAAATTTAAGCTATAAAAATCATGAAATAAGGGCCCTATAATAAAAACAAAAACTCTCTCGATTGATGGATTAAGATCAGGAATAACCTAGAAAGACTTAGTTTATTCTTCAAATGACTTTTTCTTTTGTTGTTGTGTAACAAAGATTTAAAATAAGCTTTGGAAACTTATGGAAGTGCTCAACTTCTCTCTGAATGACTTCTTCAGTCTAGATTGTAAGAATATAATTTGCTGAGCACATAGTAACTAAATTTCAGCCAGACTTCATACTGTGACTTTTATCAAGCAAACACGATGCGGCAGAAGGTGAGGCAGCCTGCTCCAAAAGCCCTAGATTGTACAGAGTCTACCACAGCTTCTTCACAGGTGCTGCAGAGTGTATTTCTGTGCAGCAATGACCACTGCGGTCTGCTGTGAACACACACTGACAGCGTGTCTCTAGGTCGGGTCCCTGGAGCCCCGTTTTCGTGCCCCCCCCTGG